CAGATTGCACAACCCTCCAAAAACCGGCCGTAATATCCAGATCGTACTACCCTCCAAAAACCGACTGTAGTATCCAGATCACACAACTCTCCAAAAACCAACCGTAATATCCAGATCGCACAACTCTCCAAAAACCGACCGTAATATCCAGATCACATAACCCTCTAAAAACCGACCATAATATCCAGATCGTACAACCCCCCAAAAACCGATCATAATATCCAGATTAAACACACCTCCCTTAAAAACAGAGCGTACAGCCCCCACAGAAACAGACCATAAATTTCTGCATTTACGCACCATTCAAAATCAAACCATAATACCCCTATTATATACACCTTCCTCAAAACCAAACCGTAATATCCATGTCATACACACATCTCAAAAAAAAGGCTGTAATTATCAGATAATAAGCAACCCACAAAACAGAATGTATTACCCAGGATACGTACTCCTCTTGCAAACAGACCATAATATCCAGATAATATGCACCCCCATAAAACACACCATATTTTCCAAATTACACAAGCCCCTCGCACACAGACCATAATATCCAGAAAGTACGCAACCCCATAAAACAGACCGTATTTTCCAGATTACACACTCCCCTCACAAACAGACCATAATATCCAGATAATACGCACCCCCATCAAAGAGACCATATTTTCCAGATTACACACGCCCCTCGCAAACAGACCATGATATCCAAACTAACAAAGCCTCCCTCAAAGTCACGCTGTAATATCCAAACCAGACAAACCATAATATCCACATTATATACGCCCCTTAAAATAGACCGTAATATCCAGATTACATGCTTCCCTCACGAAAAGAGACCATATTGTCCAGATTATGCACCCTTTCCAAAAAAAACGACACTGTAATATCCAGAATAGAGAATCCCTGAAAATAGACCAAATGTATCCATCTTATACACCTGCCCCTCAAAAAAAAACCGTAATATCTGGAAAACATACCCCATCAAAAATGGACTGTAATATCCAGATTTCATCATCCCAGAAAAATGGACCATAATATACAGAGGTAATAGGAACTGCAGATGCTGGAAAATCTGAGACAACAA